CTGTAACTTTCACTCTATGCATCCGAAGAAGTGAGGTTTTTACCCACGAAAGCTTATGCCCAAATAAATCTGTTAGTCTTTAAGGTGCCACCAGACTCCTTGTTGTTTCTCGGGGAAACCTGATACTTTTAGAACCCCTCTCCTTTCTATGTCTGCCAACTAGAGACAGATTCTGGAGACAGATTCCTCAAAGACAGGCCGAAGATCCTAATTATCCTATCACAGGAAATTGTTGGCCTCAATGAAGTCAACAGGAGAGGAGAGCACATAGCAACTCAGAATCAGGTTCTAAACTATGGCAAGTTGGTTTCTTCTGTCAGAGTTTAGGACCACTAAGTACACCAGTCTATTTAAGGTCTTCATTGTGTTTTCTCTACTGTCCCTTTATGGTGTATAAATATTGCCTCCAAAGTATTTTTTTTTTTATTTTACAATGGGGCAACAATGGTTCTGGTTGCCTTTCATCTTAGAAATATCTCAAGCCTATAAAGACTTGACTTCTCTGTTTTTGAAAGAAGATTCTCTGGATTAAAATGTTGAGGTCTAGCATATGTCCTTAAATTCTTTGCTGGATTGTGGCAAAAAAGAATAAAGGACACTAACATAATATTTTATTTATTCATTTTATTTATTCATTTAATACAAGTTAAAATAATATTTATTCTGATCAAATGAACAGATTTTCCTGGTTTTAAGTCAAAGTCAATCTGGTCTAATAGCCAAATTTGCTGTGATTTACTGCAATTGTATTTTTTGTTCATCAAAGTTGCAAGAATTTATACAACTTACAAAAATCGAACTGTTATGTATAGGTAAGGAGAGAAGAAAAAGTTAAAAATAACTTATTGTTTTGCAATCTATTAGCTGTGAAATCACTTGAACTTTTTTATTTTCTCAGTTTTTGTTCATTGTTAGTTTAGAACTTTTTTGCATCCCAGAGTGAGTATTTATGGACCCTGAAAACAGAAATACTGACATAAGCTAATTATTAGTGACATGAAGAACCCTAGCATAATTATGAAATAAAAATAATTGGGGTCACCTATTATTCTAAAGTAATTTAATTATTTTTTTCTATTAAGAGACCTGTTCGATAGCATGAGACTAGCATTACAAGTCCAGATAGATAAAACTATTCAGTGGTATTTCTTTGCATTTGCATTCAAATCCTGAGTGTGTATCATCCCCATTTGTTATTGGAAACCAAAATAAGTGAAAGGGCACTAAAAATTTCTTAAGTAACAAAGGGACTTTTGAAGATTAACCACATTAGTTTCAGTAGATCTTTAATCCTCTGAAACTGATAAACTGAAAATGCCATTAGGCCTTTAGCCAAAAAGCAGCTTGGTTTTTAATATGTGTTGCATCTGAATCATCAAACTTGGCAAACAAGCCTCTTGCAATAAGATCACCATTTGATAATAAATACAAATAATCTTTAATTCCAAAGTAACAAACAAAAATTGGGCTGTCATAAGTGTAATAAAACAGAAAAATTATGAATACCTTGTCAGTAGCTTGCCTGGAATTTAAATGTTGATTGTTTTAAAATACAGAGCTGATGAACCAAATTCTGCTCTTAAATGTATTAATGGCACTCCTGCACTGTAGATGATAAAGGATGCCATTTGAACAACTGAGAACAAAACTTAGCCCTATGTGTGTAACTTCACTTTTCTAGTTTCTTTTTCTTTTCCTTTTTATTTTTAACATGATCTGTTGTTGTAACCCTTAGAGTACAACGGTAAATTGGCTGGATTCAAAAACAGATTAAATAACCCAAAACCTACATTATCAAGGAAAACAGAGTTAATAGTGATGAAAATGTGATGCCACTTTGAAAATTCTAACTGAAGTCACTATGTTCAACATGCTACAGATGACTGAGCTGCCAGCATAATAGGAAGCAGAAAAAAAATGTAAAATCAGGTAAGACGTTGCGAAAACACTTTTTTTTCATTTGCAGAATAATAAATGTGTGGTGTCCCCACAGGGCAAAGTTGTGAAGACAAAAACACTAGGGTCATTCAAGAAATGATTGGGTATGTCCTGGGAAAATAATGTACTAGGGTGGGATGAGCCTCAGTGGGCTGAATGGCCTTTTTCATTCTCAATATTCATGGATCACAGCTGTCGCACTGCAAGGTATGTTAAAAAGAAGAGACTATGTGCTGATAGCTCAGAGAGCTATTCATCTGAAACCTGGCCCCATATGTATCAAGCTGAAGAACCTCTGTTACTTGACACCCACTAAGCTTAATTGTCATTCAGGCTGTCCGAGTGCTTTATTATTAAGCCCATCTTTTCCTTTTACCAGAGGCGAAATACTATGACATTGGAAAAGTGAGGTGCAATCCAACAGAAGATTGGATATCTTTAGGGCTAGATTGTAGCATTTAGTTACAAGCTCTAAGTAGGGGACTGTACAGTGGCCTAATTTTCCACAGGGCCACTCCTTGTTCACAAGGTGTACACAATTTATACTAGCCATTAGCCGAACACTTCCATTCACCCTCTTTCAGGTGATTTGCTTGCTGGGAGGAGAAGGTGAAGAGCAGGCTTTGCTCACTGGAATGGCTGTTAGGATCAGCTCTTCAACAGGTATGTAAGATGGTGGGGTGGTACAAGAAGCCTGCAACCTACTTGTGCAGTCTCTGCAAGGCCTACAACAAGATCTTGCCCTACCCACACACCCACAGAATACTTTAAAAACAACAGCTACTAGTGCGGTTCTTCTGGAAGGAGCAGGATCAGAATCTGGGGAGCTCACACATTAAATCCATACTCCCTGAGTACAGCAAACATATGTGTCAGCAAAGCTATCTGATGCTACTGTGGCTACTTGATGAGTGAGAGTACTGAATTTATAACTGGAGCTGGCGGTGAAAAATTGATGAAATCATACTGCACCGGAATATACACTTTCCTTAACATTAAAATGCTGCATAAAAGTGGCTCAATTTTGCTAAGTGTTCATTTGGGAAGAAACCAGACAAAAATGTTCTGACTATTGAAAGTCCCATTTCACCATTGTCAGAATAAAACATTCCAATGTTTTGTGCTAAATTACTTTTTTATTTCACATTTTTAACATTTTGTATTATAATATAAATTATAATAGACTACAGCATTTTAAAAATCAAAATAAAAATGAAATGATTTTGTCAAAATGAAACATTTTGATGAACCTGAAACAACATTTTCCTTATTGAAGAATTTCAAAATTTTAGGTTTTTATTCCTATTTGGAACAAAGCCAAATTTTGAAATTTCAAAATCCTTTGTGAAATAGAATTTCTATCTTCTGTACAACTCTGCTTACAACTATATAAATCCAACAGCCATCTGACCAATCACACCCAAAAAACAGAGGTGAGCAGAAAATGTTTGGGCTAATGCAAGGCAGCAGCTGTTTAATATTCCTCACATTCCATGGGTGATTTCTGTCCCCACCCATTTTACTTGAGGTGGGTGCTGGGGACTATATTTGCCCCTACAGCATACCAATAAGCATAAGAACACAAGAACATAAGAAAGGCCGTACCGGGTCAGACCAAAGGTCCATCTAGCCCAGTATCCTGTCTACCGACAGTGGCCAATGCCAGGCGCCCCAGAGGGAGTAAACCTAACAGGCAATGATCAAGTGACCTCTCTCCTGCCATCCATCTCCATCCTCTGACAGATAGAGGCTAGGGACACCATTCCTTACCCGTCCTGGCTAATAGCCATTAATGGACTTAACCACCATGAATTTATCCAGTTCTCTTTTAAATTCTGTT